AGTATTCATATCTGTGTCTTTATCTTTTCCTTCTCTGTTCCCACATAGATGGTCCCAACAAAAGCACTTCTCTGTACTCCATATCCCGATAGAAGCACACTGGCTGTGTTGTGTCCCTGGCTCTTTTCCATACCGTAGTCCACAGTACCTCCAGCAATGCTGAGGAGGTCTACTCCTTCATCCCATACTCGTCTTGACCTCTGCTCATATCCCTCACTTCCAAAGGATCACACTTCTGATGTCAGTACTCCTCATTCCATTTCTTCCCACATCCTTTTAGCCTTTTGTTCATTGGTTGTCAGTCTCTTTTCTCTTGCAGTTGTCCCCTTCATTGGCGCTGGTATCCTTCCTCCTGCGTGCAAATGGACTAAAGGTTTTCACAGCCACATTCCCTTGATTCTGTTCTGTCTTCCACACTTCAATCTCTTTTCTTAATCTTTAAGGCTGTTCTCATGTTCTTGATTTTTACAGCATCCCCATAAGTTTTTATTGGCTCACATCCCTCTTCCCTATGTTTTCCACTGAAATGTTTGTCATCAGTGATCTATTCATTACTAAATCCAGTAGTATTTTCTAAGCTACCATCTTTTCTATAGAATTATTGGCCAGATGTTTGAAAATTACTACAAACATTCAACGATAATATGCTAAATGCTTGGTAAGAATAGAAAAGATGAGTGCACAAGAAATAATGTTGGGAGGAATGCATGGGCCTGAAACAAGATTAGACATGAAGGGATAAAGAACTCAGAAATTCAAAGAAATCTGGATTATGCAAGGACTGGACTCAGGGAAGATTTTTAAGGTAGATGTGAAACCTATGAAAGCTTACTTCGTTCATTGTATTTTATCATTAGAAGACTCAGTCTGCTAAAGATGTCATACACCAGAGTATAACAGAACATGGTTATTTTTTATTATAAGAAGGTGGAAAAAGGTAGATTATGCTTGTAGTGAAATACAGTGACAGGGTTCAGAGAGAGTTCATGTTATGGTTGCTTTAGTAGATCGCACAATACCTACATGCCTTCCTTGGAAGATAAAAGGAAAAGTTGATGTGCTTACAAAGTAAGAAAGTGGTATAAATTACCAAGAAATGTATTCTCCCGAAATTAAAGGGGAGATATAACTGAAAAGATGGGGTGAGAGCAGAATCTCTATCCAGTCACTATAAAGAAAGAATATTGACAAAGGGGATATTGGGAGGAATACTTTGATAACAAGCATGGCTAAAATATATAGTGCACGTGTTTTGGGAAATACAGTTGTATCAAGTGCAAGTCTTGCTGAAAAAGTGCAGTGGCTAACAATGGGAAATTTGCAAAAAACAAATTCATTTTGTTGTTCCCCCCAAGTATAGTTCACTGCCAGCGGCTACTTCACAAATTTAGTTTTTGCCTCATGGAGGGTTTTAGAATAAAATACCTAATCTGTTGATGAAAGAAATGTCTATAAACAGAGAATCAAAAGGCATTTAATCCAAAACCTTTTGAGAAAATTTATTTGTATGAAGGAACAGCTTCCCCGAGGTTATGCTGCTATTGTCAGTGGGCTAATGGTCAAGCCACTACCCACTTTTTAAGGCACCATGTTTTATTCCCCCCCTGAGGCTTTTGCTGTGTAGCCCAGGATAGCCTTGCACTCATGGTCCTCCAGACTTAGTACTTCTATTGCAAGTGAGAATCACTGTGCTCCAGCATGTGCTCTGTATTTTTAAAAGACCCATAGTCTCTCTATATGGTTGTGCTCCAAACCATTTGCAAAAACTCACACAACCAGCAGATGATCCTGAATGTTCTCAGACAACAAGGAAAATGTTGACTAATAGGGTGAATATACAGTAAAACAAGTTAAAAGCCTTAAACAATACTAAATTGACAGTTCTCTGATTCTGGGTCATTTTATGTTTGCTTTCAGTTACTTTTGCGAAGCACAAGCATACAAAGAGAATTCAGGGTAGAACAGAAGCAGAGCTCAGGACTCAGGAAACAGGATAAAGAGTTTGATTATCCAGCTGTGGCTGATTTATGGCCTCTTCTGTACTCTTGCTTTGCTAAGATTTTACCAACAGACTAACAGGAATAAATGAGTAAAAATCACAGATTTTCTTCAACACAAGCAAGCTTTTATTGTATTTTGCCATAACTTGTGACAGTTTTAGGAAGATGGTTTATTTTGTTAAGTGGGCCTTAGGAAAAATTTGCAAAATTAATTGTAGATCCAATAGCTTAAATTGGTCTTTGCTGGGGGGGGGGGGGTTAAAATACTACAGTGAGAGCACTTACAGTCTAATTTCTAAATGACCTGAGGAGAAGCTAGACATCCATTCTCTTCATTGCACAGTCATTATGGGGAGCACCCACTGTGTGTCATCACTGTTATAGAGCAGTGTCCAGTCTCAAGAGGTTCACAGTTTGTTTTAAAATCAAGAAGGATTCAATTTACTACTTTCAGCATAACACCTACTCTTGAAGATTTAGAAGCCTCCTACCTTATGCAATTATCAACTTAGTGTTGAGAAGGGCCAGTTTGACTGTTATAGAGGAGGAAGCATGTAAGCTTGTAAACATGAAAAATCTAGTATGAGAGAGAAAATTTGTTTTGTAATTGATTTTGTAATTGAAATACAAGAATTTTACAGGTTGAATTTTTTTTTTTCACGAAGTGGAGGATCTTTGAAAACCATGGAGCATTCTGTCACATTTTCTTTGTTGGAATGCTATATATATAAAATCAAGCTGATTAGAAAGCCTTGGATCTAACCCTTGGCTGCTCAGCCAACAATGGGATCCTGACTCATGCCTGGAGTTAAGTACTCAGAAATACATCTGTGCTTAAAAAAAAAAAAAAAAAAAGGCGGGGTTGCGGTGACCCATCTGCTCTGATTTTAGCTTCTCAGCATTTCTCTAAGGTCCTTTAAGCGCCAGGACCGGGTGGAAAGGGGGAGGGAAACAAGAATTCCATGTAGCATACTTGTCAAACAATGCATTTTATAAACCACTGTTGAGATTTTGACTTACAAGACACAGAGGACTCTATCATATAACATTTCTTACTAGTAGCAGTGAGTGTTCTGGCTGGAACAATCCCTTTCACTCATTGGGCTTTCTGCTGTTTTGGAATGGGGGATTGGAGCTCAAGAGTGGCTTTTACTGGTAAAAAGCAAGCTAGTGACTGACTGCAAGCATTTCCAGGCTCTGCAACTAGTAAGAAAGTAGGCTGTATACACAAAGGCTCTACCCTTAGTTTCTGAACTCTAAGGCCTATGCCCAGCACAGATTCTCCCCTACATACACATAGAAGTGCTAAAGTTTGGCTTAATGTCCTGCTGTTGCTATCTGAATATTCTCAGATACTTTAAAACAAAGGTTCTGTGTTTTTATTTTGCAATGTCCACATTTTATCTTCAGTCCTGGCCCTCACTTCCCAAGATTCTAGGCAACTGTATTTGTATCTTCAAGCGAGCATGTCTAGAGAAACTAAAGAGCATTCAAGTAAACTTAGTCATTGGGGGGAATCTTTCTAAATTTTGTGGAAAAACATGTAAAGGTATTTTTAAAGCCCTAAAGTAGTATAAACCTATTGTGAGTTTCCATCGGCATATGTTCAGCTATTATGTTTTTCCATGGTTAGACATGTTTATTTAGAAGTAAAAAGGAATCACCTGTGAGTGCCACCTGGTAATATTTATCTCCTAGCCAGCTTACCAGATGTCAAATCTCTACTATAAATATGACATTCTCCCACTATTGTTACCTCCTTCAACATTAAGAATGATAATGTGGAAAAATTCATGTTCATAGTTCTAAAATGATGTGATAGTATGCAGTTTGCTTTGCAGTTTGCTTTTTTTATCCAGTGTGACATTTGTGTACACCTGTGTTGACAACCTGCTGTATCAGTCTGTTTTTTGTCAGTTTGTACCGTAGTGTGAAACTCACTCCTGACCTACAGCCTGGCTTAGTGAGGTTGTTAAAAACCATCACCAATTGAGTTTTGTTTGGACTCTCATTCTGTCATCACCTGAGGCAAAAGATACTAACTGGCCATACTGGAAAAGCCAGACAGTGTTTACATTCATGAAAGGGATAAATAGTTTCTGCCATTCAGGATATTTTTTGTGATAATTAAACGAGACAGTTAAGCCTAGCATAGTCTAGACATGCAAAGCATAGCTGAGGACCAGCCTACCATGACACCTAAATTAGAAGATTGTACAGCCTGAAGCAAGTATATAATGGCGATCTTAAGTGTATGTTCTACATTCTTATTGTACCTAAAGCTTAATTATTAATTTTGCTTTTTTAAAGCAATAATAATTGTGTTTTACTCCTAAAAAAATCATATATCTATAAAATCACAAATTCTTAGGTTTATTTATTTTTAACCAAATTGAAATGTATTACTTCTGATACACTTTCTAAGGAATTAGAAGGCTTGAATGAGTACACTATTTGTAACACCTAAGTTCTGTTCTCTATGAAGCTGGAAAGGGATCACTAATCAAGTCATTTTCTCTTTCGTTTCTCCAAATAGCTAATAATTGTACTGAGAATTCTAAAGTTCTGTTGGCACCCAATTGTGGTGCTACATGGCAACCCTACTTGAAGTTTAAAATTTAGTACAAAAGCACACAGGTTCTCTGAAGCTTAAAAAATTTGAACAGTCCAACATTTAATGGAGTCTTCTGGTTGAAGTTTTCTTGTGTTAAGAAACCTGAGGGAGCTGGATAGGCGACTCAGCAATTGAGAGCTCTTAACTGTCCCTCATGAGGACCAACTGTGTAATAAGCCATGCATCCCTGTAAACACCTGCAATCCTAGTCCTGAGAGATCCAGCAATGTTTTCTGGGTTCAGATACACAATGTGCCTGCATACACAATGTGCACATACACTAATTGAGATCCATGTGCACATACACAAAATGAATCTTAGAAACATAGAACTATACTTTGCATCTCCCTGTGTTTCTCAAACATCATATTTTCATTATTCAACAGATTCTATACAATTCGATATAGAGAAAAAGATAAAGAGAAGAAATGGATTTTTCAACTCTGTCCAGCCACTGAAACAATCGTGGAAAATCTCAAGCCCAACACAGTTTATGAATTTGGAGTGAAAGACAACATAGAAGGTGGAATTTGGAGCAAGATTTTCAACCATAAGACTATCGTTGGAAGTGAGTGTCCGCTTGACCCAATAAAGCTTTTATTCTTTTCTAATTGTCTACTTTAAACCACTTCACTAGCTGTATAATATGAAATGAATTGATTTCCAGTTATTTCCAATGCTTAACATGTTCTAATGTTTAAGAAAATACAAAAGGAACAGAATTTAAATATTGATATTTCAGAATTTTTATAATGTGATTTTTTAAAACTAGATAATGAACAACTTGATGTTTCCAGTGATGTCACTGTAGTTCTTTGAAATATATCTTTGACCTATGAACAGTATCTAAGCTGAACAAATAAAATGCCAGTTTGTGTAAATAGCCCACAGCATGGTAGGTATTACAATTTTAAAGACAAAACAAAATGGCAGGAAGGAGTCACGCCATACAACAGGATCACATGGGAGGTTTATTGGAAAAGAAGGGAGAAGTGGGCAGAGAGGCGGACAGAGAGGGGAGATGGGCAAGGTCTGCCTTTTATAAGGAAACACAGTGAATGTGCACAGGGAGTGCTCTTAACGGCTGCAGCTGAGGACATACTCTGTCAGGACCCTAAGGGTAAGCCAGTACAGATGCCTGAATACTAACAGCAGGCAAATGGAAGTGGACACAGCCTACTACAGGGAGCCCTGAACTTCTCTTCCTTACCTTTGTACTCACACATCACTGGAATCAATGTTGAAAATGATGGTAAATGAAGCTACATGCTAAAATAGAGAGTGAGACTTGGAATTGTCCCCGCAGTGAGCTGGAATTGATTAAAGGGTAAGAAGAATAAAAATAACGCCGTTTCCTTCTTGTTTTCAGGTAAAAACAAAGTAAACGGGAAAATCCAAAGCACGTATGACCAAGTCCACACAGTGGTAGGTGCCAATTTATTTTTAAGATTTTTCTTTTTGCTTAAAAATAATTATATCTGCATTGTTTTTACTTAGATGAGAGGGACAAACGTACTGTGAGAAACTGAGGTTATCAACTCAACACTGGGTGATAAGCTGCTTTTTGTTTGGAAAATGATAGAAACATGCTCCCAAACCCTTTCTAGTTTGTTTGGAGCTCTACAATTCAGAGATTCAGTGCAGTTATTCTAGTATTTGAATAGAGTATTTTGAGTGTTTGTTTATTCTGGTGTGGTGTGGTGTGGTGGTGGTGGTGGTGGTGGTGGTGTGTGTGTGTGTGTGTGTGTGTGTGTGTGTGTGTGTGCGTGCGCGCGCGCATGCACGCACGCAGTGTGTGCATGTGTGTGTGCCCACGCGCGTGCACGCGTGCATGTACCACGCTTGTGCAGGTGCCAGAAGAGGGCACGAGGGCATCAGATTCTCTGGAACTGGAGGTAAAGGCAGCTGGAGGCCACCTAGTGTGAATCAAATGCAGTCTTCCGGCCACTGAATAGGCTGTTTTTTTCTATGACACTTTAAGAGCTGATGGATAGCTACATGTTCTATGTGCACTGATAAAGTTCAAATGTAGGTGGACTTTTCATTCTGCCAGCTCCCAAATAAACACACACAGAGGCATATATTAATCATAAACTGTTTGTCCAGTCACTCAGGATCTTATTAGATAGCTCTCTCTTAATTATCAACCAATTTTTGTTAGTCTAAGTATTTCCACGTGGTCTTATCTTACTGGAGAATGCTCCAGCATGTTACTCCTTTAGCAGCTACATGGTGTCTCTCTGGCCTCTCATCTCTGCCTCTTTTCCCCAGAGGAGACTCATCTGGTGGACCCACCTATACTTCCTGTCTAACCACTGGCCCATCAGTGTTTTATTTCTCAACCAATAAGGAATCATACATACAGAAGGGTGTCCCCCATCATTCAAATCTTTCTCCATTTGGAATGATAAGCAGCCAGTTTGGTTTTGAAAATGTTGTCCAACCTTTGCTCTGTGTGTTCCCACCTCCAGTCCTCACTGAAGCCCTAAGGGTCTGTCTACATGTCTTCACCATTTCCTCAGTTTGGTCAATGGGTCCTCAGAAGTCATTCTGTCATTTATGTCTAATGGAAGGTGTTAAAGCCATCAGTGAGAGAGATGTTTGCATGTCATCTCACATACTCAGGTATGAAGTGAAAGGTGCTATGTTACTGAGCAGGTAGATGAGGCTCCAGGTTGAGAGAATGGGCTGTGTGTTGGAATTATACAGCTTGAGAATGTACCCTTCAGTCATATGAGCACGAAAGGGCTTAGTGTGTTTAGTCTTTCTCATTGTTCTAGTCAGATCACTTGGACCCAGCTATTTCTTCTCTATCCCCAACTCCATTATCATGGTACTAGTTCCTTTTTAACTTTCCCCTGTAATTACTCCAGGGTGTGTGCTCACATCTGAAAATTTGGAACTAGGAGCCTCCAATGAGAGAGAACATGTTGTATTTGTTTTTCTGGGTCTGGGTACCAAACTATGGGCTTTTCTAGTTCCATCCATTTACCTGCAAAATTCATGATTTCATTTCTTTCACAGCCAAATAGTATTCTGTAATGTATATATTGCCACATATTCATCTGTCAGTTGAAGAACATAAGGTTGTTTCTATTTCCTGACTGTTGTGAACAGAGCATCATTGAACATGGCTGTGCAAGTATCTGTGGAGTAGGATGTTGAGTCTTTTGGGTATCGGCAACCCCCCATGCTATCCACCAACAGGAAAATCCCTCCAACTCGGCTCTAGCATTCCTTGGTTGTTCCCTTGATCTTTTGTGTTTGATGGGGTAAGATGAAATTTAAAATTTATTTTTTTTTTCTTAGTAGGAGAAAAAAACATATGGTAGATTTATTGGTAGCATTTTAGGAATTTTCCTAAATTGGGTACTCCAAATTTGGGCTAGGATAGTGCTGTCTTCTTCATTGTTTCCTGATAGGAGTACAGTGCTCTTTATCTTAAGTTTGAATTGGTCTACCCTGTCAGCTGTCAGATACTGAGATGGTGATGACTGCTTTCTTCTTGGCCTCATTTGATTGGCACTCTTTTGTCCATCTAAATTACATTATTATTGAATTGGTTTCCAGGTTATAGACATTTTAATTATTTTTAATTTGATATAATTAAATGCTTATTAACAATTTAGGTTTTTAAGGCTCTTTAGTATGAATGGATAAATTTCTTTCTAAGATGATTATCTCAACTTATGATTTTTGAAGTAGCTAACAAGAGTTTATCTTGCTTATCCATAGTATATATTTTTTGTTGCTAACGTTTTTGTTTAATATAATATTTTAAAAGTTATATTTCCCATTTCTGTGAATGCTGATAAAGTGGTACTATCTTTGCTTTGGTTTTCCATTTATTGGCCATTAGTTGTGGGTCTTTATTACCTTGCAATTGTGTAAATATTTTTCCTGACTAGTTTAAAGACTTTATTGACAAAATAATTCTTTGCAATGGTATCTAGAAATACTTTTCTTACATTGCTACCAACTTTGTTGGTGGCAATTGCTGAAAGAGTCAAGTCTTAGAAATGTGCTTCATCGGGCTGGAGAGATGGCTCAGCCGTTAAAGGCTAGGCTCACAACCAAAAACATAAGAAATGTGCTTCATCCATTAAACTTTCATCATGACAAAAGATGAATATATATCTCCCTTTTTAATTTTAGTTTTTGTAGCTATTCAACTCTAAACTCTGGGTTTTGCTTTGTTATGGTGTACTGCAAGGATCAGCAGTTGGTCTAGTGGCCTGGATTGAATAATGATACTGTCTAAAGTCCCTTTGATTTTTGTATTTCTGGAGTCAGGTCAGTATTATATATGAAAAGCAAACCTGCTACACTGCATGGGAAGGATAAGCAGTTCCTGTTTCATCCCCTTATAGAACATTCATTCTTTGTTGTAAATGGTTTCCTAGGCAACAAATCTTATCCATTACCCTCTTATCTGTCTTGCCTAATCTTTATTTGACTTACTGATGTCATTTCTTTCATTCCTTCTTTTTCAACTCCACCTGTCAATCATTTTTATTTATTTTTGACTGAATACTTCATGTAGGATGCATTACTCGGTGTGATTGAGAAAGACGATTGGTACTTTGCCACAGCAGAATTTAATTTCTTTTTCCTTTTCATAAACAGCTGTGATAGGGCTAGAGAGGAGCTTCCTGCATCTGTGACACAGAGCCAAGGTTGTATCACTCCCATGTGTGAGGTGGAGTACCTCCAAATCCAGCCAGCTGTGATGAGCTGTACTTTAAAACTCTTGGTTATTTCCAAAGGAAAACCCGAGTTTATTGAACAGATGCTTCAAAGCTACTCTGTGAATCTCTTTATGAATATCCTTTGGATAGCAGAAAAGTGTCTCAGGAAGTAACTTCTGATAGTCCTGAGACATGGGGAAGTTGCAAAGGGGTCACGCAGGACAGCCATTGGCGATGTGATGTGGTCTCATAGAACCCATTTATGAAGTTGACTTGTTATTTCAGTCCAAATCTAGTCTAAGTATTCACCCATGTCTTCTGTGAAACTGACGTTAAAAGGCAGTATTTCAAGAGGCAAACAATATTTTTGTTTTAAGTAAAAGACTCATTGAAGACTATTTTCATTCAATACTCTCATGTCTAAATCTTTGAAACCACAAAATATCGTAACATCCTACTAAAAGAAGTATTTGATACAGGAAAAGTATTTTAACATTAGGCTTTTAAAAATAGACAAATAATAATTAGGCTAAAAGTTTGTGCATTAAACCTTACCCCATCTTGTGCCTCTGATCACATTCACGTACTGTAGTTTATATATCCAGGTATGTGTTCTGTTGGCAGGCCCCACACAAGTTGTGCCAGGGACATGTGGGAAGGTTTCTTCTGATCGGTTAGTTAGTATCTCTGTTTTACCAGTTGTTAAGTACCTTCAAAGATGTGACTCTTTCCTTTACCTCTAAGATAACAAAGAATAAGCATAAATAAAACTCTTACTTTCATATATAACACAAATGCATCACTTGAATTGGATATAAGAAACAAAATGTTTATCATACTATTTGTGATGTTTTTCTTCTTAGAGTCCATTATATCCCTTTTTCTTCTTTATTTATTCTCTCATATGTTACATCCTGACCACAGTTTCCCCACCCTCTTCCCAGTCACTCCTCTCAACATGCCCTCTCCCACATATCTCCGTTCCCTTCAGAAAAGGCAGGCTTCCCAGGGATATGAACCAAACATAGCATATCAAATTACAATAAGACTAGGCACATCCCTTCATATTACGGCAGAATGAAACAACCCAGTGGGAGGAAAGGGATCCCCAAAGCAGGAAAAAGAGTCAGACAGTCCCTGTTGCTGCTGCTGTTAGTGGTCTCACAAGAACACAACGTTACATAACCATAGCTTATAGGTAGATCAGTGCCACTTCAGTCTCTGTGAGCCCCTATGAGCCCAGGTTACTTCACTCTGTGGGCTGTATTCTTGTGGTATACTTCATTTTATCCCACCCCCTTTTCATTATGTTCCTTTTTGTGTAATATTTTTATTTATTCCTTGAACACATGACATTACAATATTTTTATGAAAATAAGTATCTGTTACCTGATGCTTGTTATTAGTTTTTTTAAATGAAGTTTCAAAACATTTTCTCTTTAAAAATTCTTTAATCTATTCAATAAACAACACTAGTTATTGAAGTATGTACTACATTTGATTATATTTTGAAATGTAAAGTTATTTGGTGCAACTTTTCTGAGAATCTGTGTTCCTTTAAACTAAGATGCTATTTATATCTTTTCATTTTTTCCATTCAAACTCTAACTACTATAGGAAGGATCCCCCATTGTCTCCTCTTAAAATTCCCATGGTTGCACTGAAAGTTTCTAATACATGGTTTTGAAGAGCATATTCAAACCATAGCACCATGACAGCTCACTAAGGTGGTATGAA